AACATTTCTCCCATATGACTTCTGTCCCCTACTTCCTTTACAGACTTTTTCAGATGTCAAACTCTTGGGTGATGTAGTTATCCCTTACTGAAGGTAACACAACTCAACCCTATGGCCAGCTCTTGTCTAGCCATAAAGACATTGTCCCACTAGTGTGTGTGTGTGTGTGTGTGTGTGTGTGTGTGTGTGTGTGTGTGTGTACAAGGCTGAGAGTGCACATGTATGTGGAAATCAAAGATGTATATTAGATATCTTCTTCAATCATCTTCCACCTTGCTTTTTGAAACAGACTCTTTCACTGAACACAGCGCTCACAAATTCACCTAGGCATAACACCTCAAGTATAATGGAATGATACGTACATAGAAGAGCAGAGGCAACATGGTAGGAACTGGGTCTATAGGATATGATGAGGAAGCATTGCTTATTCAAGCCATAGACACAGTTCTATTAGTCATCAGGGGTCTCTCCACAGCAGTCAAACTAGGTTCTTTCAGCTCCCACTCTCCATGGTGATCCTGAAGCCTCCTTCCCCCAGGCAAGTATGAAGATAAGGCTGAGCTAGATCAGAGCTCTCCTGGGTATCCTATGACTGGACAAAGGGGAGGAAGGCACAGGGTTCTAAAAGAACTAAAAAGCCACACCCATTGTGTGCAAAGGAGCCTGAGTTCCCCTTTCCCTTTTCATGATTACCCTTCTCCTGCTTTGCAAAGAAGACACACTCCTCTCCCACCCAAAGTCTTACCAAGTACCTTAATGCTCCAGAGTGCCACATACAGGGGAAATGCTCACATAGGAAATAGTTCAAATCAAAGCACTGACATTAGTGTCTTGCCCACTGCTTGTCCCAATTCCCAGTATGATCTTAGTTTTATGCTTAATTCTCACTTATTAAAAGTTCACAGGTTATTTAAATTATGCATTAAGAATATTAAAAATAACCCAAAAAAGTAGTTTTGAATAATAAAATGTATTAATTACATTAAATTAATTGAATTAAAATGTATTATTTTATTTTAATTTTATGTACTTATTTTTGTTGTAGAGAGGTAAGAGCAAAAGTCAGAAACAGTGGAGCTGGAGAAAGGATTGTTCAGTTGTTGAGTATTTGCCTTACAGGCCTGAAGACCTGAGTTTGACCACCAGAATACACATCTCAAAAAAAGTGATGCATATTGGCCTGTGATTATAATCTGACCAATGCTGATGGGGCAGAAGCAGGCAGCTCTCCACAGTTCTGGTCAACCAACCCATCCTTAGTAATGAGTCTAGGCCTGTGAGAAATGCTGACTCAAGAGAAAATGATGGCTGCCTGAAGAATGACCTCCCCCTAATACCCCACACACACACCTATATCCAACATAAACACAAAAAGGAATTGGAAAAACAAATGTTTAACTATGAAGGTTTTCAGCAAAGGGAATGTTCCTTGATTACCTTAGAGCTTGGTCATGAGTTTTCAAGGGCTGCTTTGGTTTGTATGCTTCAGGTGGAAAGTATAAGAGTAAACCGCCTACCAAGAAATACGACTCATTGTTATTGAACACCAAGGACTTCTCAGGGCCTCTTTCTGTGTCACAACAATGAATACAGCTCCCTCCCCCATCCCCCACCAACCCTGTGTCTATCCCTTCCTCCAACCCCACCCTTGATCATTTTCATTTTCTATTTCATTTGGCAAAATCATTTATATCATCTTCCTCATGTGTTCTGCAACCTTTGAAGACATAGAAGAAATGAACAGTAAGATACATAGATCATCATCATACTGTTTCTCTATAGTGCTCTACCCAGCTGTGGTATTAAACACTTAAAACCCATTAAAACCCATGCACACTAGCACTCTGTCTCCAGGAGAATGTGTACAGACATCAACAATAGAAATAACTCAATATCCTCAGTTTCCTAATCTGACCTCAGCACTGGACACCTTACTTTTAATTAACTTGCTTTTCATTGTGTATGTATGCACAGTGGGGTTAGGAGGCACATGTGTGACATCAGAGGGCAACCTCATGGAATGGGTTCTCTTTCCATCTTTACATGGGTTCCAAGGTTTGAATTAAAGTCTCCAGGCTTATGTGGCCACCTCCTTTACTCAACAAGCCACCTTGGTGGCCTGAAATAGCACTTTAGAAAGATAGCATTGTTTAATACAAAGTAAAATAATCACTCAAATGATGGCCAATGCCAGCTTCCTGGCATAGACTTGTCAACATGGTGCCTGAGGTGCCAAAACCTTCTGATTACTAACTTTCAGGTTCACATTTGGTTTCTCCTGACCATGTTAACAAATTTTACTTCAGTATCTCATAGGTTTCTAGGCTAACCTTTTTTGATTCAAGAAAATTCAAATACAACTTAAAATAGCCCTTCTGTCTCCAGACAGTTGCTAACCCCCACCCCCCCCACACACACTCAAACCTATAAGATATATAAATACATGCGTATACACATGCATATGTAATTTTGATATTAGTTAGCTGAAACACACTCCAACCAAAATCCACTAATTTTCTCTCAACACCTCTGTAGAATATTCCTCCTACCAATGCAAAGTTACCATAAGACACATGCAATGTTGAATTTCAGCCATCTCTTGCTATTTCCAGAACCACTGAATAGAGACTTATAAGAGCTAACATTGAGACAAAGAGAAGGAACGTGGCTCCCTGCCAAGCCTACCATATTAGACCTTTGAAAGAAACTATCACAAAGAGCAGCCATCCCATCCTTAGTCATGATGTAATGTGAGAATCTTCTCCAATTTCTCATTGACTCCTACCTTCCTACTTGAATGGATAGAATGACAAGTAGAGGGATGCAGACATAGAAATCAACCCTTTGCTGATTATGAGTTATTATAAAAAACTGATACACATTAGGAAGATAGTTTCATTCAGGAACCATAAATTTCTCTAAAGGATCAAACATATACAGATATTACATGACTATAATCTTTAAATATACAATTAATAATGTTAGCTACAGAAGTAATTTGAAACCAAAACTCTAGCATCACAATATTGGCACAAATGAAATAATAATTGCCACAGTTAAACTGTGGAAACTAGTTCAGTGTGAATAATTCATTCTTTATCGCATTGCAATCTTAAGTCTGTCAAGGTTGGAAGAGGTCAACCCTCCCAAGCCCTGTTTCTTTGAACAACTTATTGAGTTAGTTTACACACTAATTACCATATGCACTATTATTTATATTTACTGGGTGCAATATATGTCCATTATGACATTTTCTAAATATGTGTATACTTAGGACAATATTTGGAGCTCAGAATTTAAGTTGTGGACTGAAAACAGTATTTCCTGTGTTGTCATCAACCAGTGTTCAGAAGAATAGTAACACACACACACACACACACACACACACACACACACACACACACAAACCAAAAGCAGGGAAATCAGAGAGAGGTCTAAAGTCTACAAAGTTGCAAAAGGCTTGGATCGACACCCATTGACAGAGCTGATTAGCAATGCAAACATTTCCCTCAGGAAAATCTACAAATGTGTTTTTGTTTGTTTGTTTGTTTGTTTGTTTTGTTTTGTTTTGTTTTGTTTTTCAGTTCTCCTGAAATTGCTGAGCTTGCTGAGGAGTAGCACACCTTGACTGGAGTGCTTGCCAAGGTTAAAATTCTTTAGTCTCCAAATTCTGTTTCAATAACCTTAAGCCATTTTTTAATCTTTAAAATTAGTTTATAAAAGTTTATGTCACTGACAAAATTTACAGCATGCAATACAGTTACTGACATTTCCTATAATTGAAACAAGATTTAAATAAGAAAGCACCATAGTATTTTTCCTTTAACCCACCAGGAATCCACAGGAAATTTCCAACCAGAACTGGCTTCCCATCACACTATAAAGTTGCCCCTAGCAATAACATCCATGCTGTGCAAAGCCTGTCAGAGACCTGAACTAGGGAAAAACCTACCCCCATCATGTTGCAACAGATCACAAGGCAAGGGGACACATGGGAGTCGGACTGTGAACTCCCTGAAGAGAGAGAGAGAAAACAAAAAAAAAAAAAAAAAAAAAAAAAAAAAAAAAAAAAAAAAAAGAAAAAAGGAAGCTTAACATCAGCAGACACACTTATAACAGGCCTGAAACAATTTTGGATGCTTCAACATTTTAAGTAAAACTCCTAATCTTATTTTTTCACCCTAAAAGCCTCAAATGACTATTACTGGGTCTCCTGTCCTTTATTTCTATTGACATTCTTTCTGGAGTAGCTTCCCTTCTTTCAAAGCCCTCTCAGCTTTCCTCCGGAAATGCTCTAAATTACTCAGTGTTCATGAGGATCTAATTTACATCCTTCACACCGAACGATGGCTAATTTTACTAATCTGATGATTTACCAAATCAACCTGGAAAACCCAGCCAGTTCAGTCTGACCTCCCCTGTTACAGAAAAAGGGTGAGGGTGAATGATAGCCAATGGAAGAGACCCTCCACTAAGGAGAGTATCAGAAATCAATTTAAAATCATCATTGGAAAATAGCTACAGTCACTTCATTCCCATTTCCACACTGACTCTTTTATGAGTCTGGGACTTGCACTGTTTACAGTGTTTACATTGTCCTTGGAAGTTAGCATTAACCTTAAGTGCAGGTGTTACAGAAATTCTTTTGAGCTTCACATTCTTGCAGCGTTGCAGCCTCAACACCACTTGAAAAAAGTTAGCCAGGTTTTCATCTAATGCCCCTGTGAGTGCAGATTTGATTTCAGAACAATTTTCCAGCATCGCTTCCCTTTGATCTGGCATTACAGACAGATAACTAAGCTTTAGGTGTTTCGAACTTAGTTGTCGCTAACACAGACCAAGGCCTATAACCATCTCTGCACATTTCTTTCCCTAGAAGATGCTTCATCATCATGGAAGAGGTGATATTTGCAAAGGGAGAGAATACAGAGCACGCATCCATTCACGAGGGCCAGAGGAAGTTTGGAAGGGGAATGCGGCAAGGAAAGAAGTGCTGGTACCTTTCCTGACCTCTCTGAGCTCAGTTAGATGGACAACTCAGCCTTCCAAGCAGCAGGATCCAGTCTTCATCCAACTTGCCAGCTGGGCGGGGGTAGACAGGCTCGTTGCTCCCCCTGGTCTTGCCCTGGCCAGGTCCCTGCAGCGTGGAGCTAGGTGCACTGCAAGCTGCGGGGCGCAGCGAACTGGAGAGGCTCGCAAGAGGACCAGAGAAGATGTAGAGAAGAACCCTGGAAAAGAATGGCTAGACAGAAGGGAAAACACTCTGCATGTAGTGCCACTGAGTACTGAAGTCTCGGTCAAGAGGGCGGGGCGGCTTGGCCCACAGCTGGTGGGGAGAAGGGTGCCTGAGCAGAGCCAGAGCTGGGAGGGGCCCCGGGCGTAGGCTTTCGGGAAAAATTCCATTGTTGATCCACCACCACCAGCACCACCACCTCCCACTCTGTACCTCCATGGAGTTCTGACTGCAGGGTGCGAAGTGGCAGCCAGTGTGAGAGGGGCGAATCAGCTGGGGTTTTCCCGGTTTCCTGTGAGCTTTCCAGCCCGGGAGTCCCAACCCCAGCTAAAAGAAAAGTGAAAGAAAAAGAGTCCAAGGCAAGGCGGAGATCAACATCCTGGAGAAGGCTGCGGGAGGGGCATTGGCTCCTGGGCCATGCACTAGGTGCCCACATGATTCTGCCACTGCCAGGCCCCCAGGGCGCAGAACCTGAAGGGCAGCTGGGAGTAGAGAGCAATCCCCGCCCCTGGGCAGTTGGCCATAGCCTCTGTGTGTCCTGGAACATCTTGGCCTTCTGTGAAGTCTCAAGGAGCTGGAGTGAGTTAACAGTTTACAGCAACTGGCTTTGCAGGGAGGCTGGAAGGCTACCCCCAGAAAAGCCCAGAGACTCAGGGAGGATTGGGTTTGGAATGGATGGTCCTCCAGAACAACACTTGACCGGCTGCAGAGTCTGGAAAAGGGAACATTCTGAACTCTTCTTACTGGGAAAGAAGATACCTGGGAAACTTTTGACTAGGACAGTTAACTTACATTAAATGGACCCCTCTTGCATTACTTCTCCAGTGAAAACATTGCATTTGTCTTTACCAAGGCGTAGTTACAGCAGCATCTTTAAATTAGAAGTTGGGAATGACCATATTAATGAGGAGTCAACTACCTGTCTATGGCCAGCAGCTGAGTAGCCACAATTCCTTGCTTTGTACCTCCAAGAATAGCAGTGTGAATCACTGAAAGTCCCAGTGTCTTATGTTTCCCAAAGTTTTTTTTCCCAAGGTTATTTATTTATTTATTTATTTATTTATTTTTGTGGGACCATAGCAATATTTATTCTTCTGAATTATGTACATGGAATATGGTCCTATTTTATAATTTATTTTTATTTCTTTTTTTAAATTTATTTTATATAACAAAGTCCATTTAAATGAAAACAAACATTTATAGACAATATTTGGGAATTAGAGAGCCAGGAGAGATTGATGAGGCCCCCTGGCGATGAGTTTAAAAAGCAATTAATTTCTTTTTGTATCATTTCAAAATATGGTGAAACTAAAATATTCGAATGGTTAAATATTAATTGCATGACATTCCACATACATTTACTTTTACGAGAAATTTGTTTTCACAAACTTTTGTGTCACATCATTATTCGAAACAATATTTAATAATTAATAGACGCTTTGCCAACAATCCAAATTTTAGTATAACCATCAGAAGTGAAAATACGTAGTTTTACAACCATTTAAAATTTCACTACCATTATAAATTATGTTTAAAGAAATGTAAGAATCTGACTGGAGAAATAACTCCACGGCTCAGAGTGCTTGTTGCTCTTGAAGAGGACTGAAGTTGCATTCCCAGTGCTTCCCTGAGATGATCCACAAACACCAGTAACTCCTGCTACAGAGGTTCCAAGTGCTCTGGCCTCTTAAGGAACCTGCACTTACGCGCGTTCACACGCACACTCACACATGCACGCACACACGCGGGCGTGCACACAAAAATACATTTATTAAAAAATAAAAATGGAGGAAACTTTTTTTGTACATGACAAGATAATGAATTTTCTTGGATAATGCCAATGAGTTTCGATCCCAATCACTTTTCCATCACAGTAAGTTGGAGCCCTGCTTTGCCAAATGACCATACACTGAGAACCGGCCTGAAACTGGACTGAATTCCATCACAGGGATGTAAAAACAATGAACAAGTAGGTCCACACCTCTAGCCTCAACTTGGACTATTCGCTACAGAGTTTTGTACTCTTGTAAATGTTATTCCTCTCAAACATGCCTTGGTCTCCTTATGGCTTCTGTGTGCTCTTAAGCTGGTATAGGAATTGCACAGCCAACAATAAGGATTATATATTTCATGGACCACACCTAGTACCTCCTAGCAGGGCCAGATGTTGCTGCCACCAGAAGATACAAAACATCCCAAATTGTCCCTTTCTGTTCATGCACTTTACTGAGACAGCTGCTTTCAGTAGAACCTCACAAGCTGTGTGATCCAGGCCATGCTGGCCCTCATCAGAACTCATTAGGCATCCCTGCCCTTTTACACCTCAGCAGCCACCACTATGTGTTAAATGTTCTGAGCCAATGGAGAATTTCTGTAATAATAAAACCAGTGAGCTCATTTTCATGAGTTGAACTTCAATGAATGATCTGAGTCCATCAAAACAGAAAGACTGGACTGTAAGTACTGACTCCCATATATCTATAGGTATATACTCCATAGATATATGCAGTAGGCTCTGGACTAACATGCCAAATGATATGTGAGGCATTTATGCAGCTTTGTGGTAAAAATAGCACCAATAGCAATAAAGTCAAATGGAGCATCGAAGCCACAGGGCTTATTGTGTTCTAGGGCCTCTCAAATATGTAGGGCAAATTTGTTTTCTTAATTACAGATAACAGAGAAATTTTTTAATTACTCATGAGTGCCTACAATCCAATGACATTCACTTTGCAGCATAATTTGTTTTTGTTGTATTCCACTCAAACAGAAAATTCTAATATATGCTACTTGTATTTTCACTTGCCACAGGCTGTTTGGCAAGATACTGAAAATTACTCACACCAATGAGCAAGTAAATTCCACCACATAAATTAAAAGAAAAGACCAAGATTGATGGAATCATCTTAAAATTGCCTTAAGAGAATTTTGACAATTATAACATGAAAAGGACTGAAAACCAACTAACTGAAATGCATGGAAGAAGCTATAATAGTGATTTTTAGAGGATGAACAAGGAAATCAGCGCTCAATTGTTTTCAAAATATTAACTTTACTGTCTTTAAAATAAATTACTAGATAGGTGTGGTAGTTCCTACCTACCTGTCAGTGCTTAGGATTCTGAGACCATGAGTTCAGTGCTTCCAGTAAGACAGACTCTGCCAAAAAAGAAAGGAAGAAAGAAAGAGAAAAGACTTAACTACTATTTCAACAGATTTTTGAGTAAAAGAGGAAGAAGTTTAGATTGTTAGTTGGGGTCATCCTTGTAGATCTCTGGATATTTCCCTAGTGCCAGATTTCTCCTTCCCCGATAATGAGATTGAAGACTACCTTAATGCCATCCTAGAGCTTTCATCTAGTAGCTGATGAAAGCAGAAGCAGACACCCACAGCTAAACACTGAGCCGACTCCTGGGATCCAGTTGCAGATAGGGAGGAGTGATGAGCAAAGGGATCAAGACCAGGCTGGAAAAACCCACAGAAACTGACCTGAACAAGGGGGAGCTCATGGACTCCAGTCTGATAGCTGGGAAACCACCATAGGACCGACCCAGATTCACTGAATGTGGTGTTAGCTGGGAGGACTAAGCAGTCTATGGGACCTCTGGCAGTAGATCAGTATTTATACTTAGTATATGAATGGACTTTTGGAACCCATTCCACATAGAAGGATATTCCCTCAGCCTAGACACATGGGGGGGAGGGCCTGGGCCCTCCTCCAAATGATACGACAGACTTTGAAGACTCCCCATGGAAGGACTGACTCTCCTTGGGGAGCAGAAAGGGGATGAGATGGGGGTTGGTGGGGGGAACAGAGGAGGATAGGAGGGTGTGATTGACATGTAAAACAAGCTTGTTTCAAATTTAAATTAAAAAATTATATATATATATATATATATATATATATATATATATATTAGGAAGAAGTTAAATGTTAGCTCATATGATTCAATGAATCTGCCCACAGCAGATTCACAGTCTCCCTAAGGGTAAATTAGTTACAGAGCCTAAATATGTTGGTCCTTGGAAAGTTGTAACAAATATGGGTTTTTCCCCCCACTGCCTGGTCTTGTCCCGCCGCTGCTCCAGCCCCAATTAACACAGAGACTCTGTATTTGATATTATGCTGTTGGCCAGTTACTAGTTTCTTATTGGCTAGGCCTGTCTTAATTATTAACCCATTTCTATGTATTTCCATGTGGTCTTACCAGCGAGAGGCAGCTAGCGGTTCTATTCTCTCCAGATTCTCCATCTTGACTCTTCCTTCCTCCTTCCTCTTTCCTCCTTGTCTCCTAGTCCCTCCTATCTTGCTTTCATATTGGCCAATAGTGCTTTATTCATTAACCAGTAAGAGAAACATATACAGAATGACATCTCCCATCATCTCCTCTTTTCTGTCTAAAATAAAAAGAAGGGTTTTAACCTTAACATGGCAAAACATATAACACAACAGTTATCAAATAAGAATCACAGTTAACAATATTTAGTCCATTAACATTTAGCAAGATTTGAAGAAAATATTCCATCATCTATCCTATCTTTGTCTGTCTAAAGTAACTTATCTTTAATCCTAACTAAGGAAAACTATAACCATAACTATCTGTCTTCAACTCCTTTAAAGACCACAGAAGGATAGTATATAAACTCTAGAAATGACAGAGACATCTTGCCTTGTCAGTCACCTGAAGTTCTTCTGTAATCTTCCATCTTCAGCCCATAGGCCATAGTGTGTCTAGCAGACTCTTCAGCAAAGTAGGAAACCTTAAACTGTCATCTTATATTGGCAGTTTGTCAGTCATTTTTCTCTGTGTCCTGTAGTCTGTCTGGCAGACTCTTCCATGAAGCAGGAACTCTGTAGCAATGTCCATCTTGTATCAGCAGTCACTTTTCTGTGTGTCCTGCATGTTTGTACAGTTTATACAGTATAAAGTCAAACAGTCCAGACAAGAGCGTATCTTGTCCAAATGGCTAGTCTTGCCATATTGGAAGTAAACTCCAAACGTGTTTCTTCGATGTCCATCTTCCTTTCTGATGTAGGTGGTGTTGCCAGGAGCATTTATGTCTCACTGTCAAGAAAAACCCTAAACCATTTTAAATGCCATATTCTGTAGGTCCTTGAAAGGTTTGAAGAATGCCTATCTATCTCAAATACATCTCTGTGTATCTTGAAAACCCTAACTAACTTAACT